ATAATTTTCCTGTTGAACGTTAAATTTTACTCCTTTGTAATGCTCTCACGAAGGATTTTATGAATTCTAAAATACACTGGCTTTACAGTTATCGGATTGTTAATTTTACAGCTCTGTAATCCACATATTCTGTCGCTGATTAATCCTGAATTATGTAGCCAATGTGGTTTTTCAATGGTTTTCAGTATTTAAATTGAAAACATCGTTGATACTCGATCCACGCTTTTGTTGTATCACGATGTTAATTATATAATCCTCTGTGAAACATTATTATTGTGATCTACTTCTTTCAAAAGATTAACAATTTTGTTTTCTTCTCTGTTTCAGGTATTGCTCATCTTTTGACGTAGAATGATACTTATTTTTGCCGGTGAGTCGACTCGAGAGATTTCAACAGATATTTTAGAGACTTACATTTAATTATCTCATTTTCTTTTTGTCACGAAATTTAATTTGCTGCTAACAATTTACAATTTCATCGAACCTGTCATCGCATTATTCGAGTTCCAGTTGTTTCCAGTTAAATATCATTTGATCCGTTTACATTCTTATATCTTGTGCGATATTGCCAAAAGAGTCTGAAATAATAGATTGCCGTCCAATGAAAATATTTTCATTTCGACATGGTGATTCACGCTGACAACCTTTTCTTAGCCTGAGTTTCTCGCAATATTTAACAAATTTTAAAATCAAGTTATTTTATTATAACCTCGTAATAATCGACAAATATTCTATGATACGATTCCGTGCCCAAATATTTGAAATTAAATATGATTTATTCCATTAATCCTAATAAACTACACAAATGCTTTTTTTGGTTCTACTTTTATAAAATCATTACCAAATTACGAATTACTACAGTCTCATTGCAACTACAACATTTTATCGAAAATATTGAAAAATTAAGAAGGTGGATGAAGATATTCTCAGGATTTGTACATGTTGTTCCAACGTTAGCGAAGAATATCTCACCAGATGCTAATGACCATTGCATTTTAGTGTTGCTGTGAATTCAGCTTAACTCCTTACAAGTGCATTTCCACAGCGTGTTTCTGTTTACATCCGGAATATCCTTTTGCTTGTATGCGAACGCAGCAACGTGTCGGTGGCGTGTTTCACGCAATAATTAATCTGCGCCGCGACTTCACTCTTTCACTGTCAATTATCTGACGCACGAGGCGCGAAACCGGCGAAAAGTGAAGCTCTCGCCGGTTAAACGCTGCCGTACACTTGGCGTCGCTCGTGAACCACGCCACACCAACATCAACGCGTTTACATCATTATATTCGTTTAGTTTACGAAAAACCGTTGTTTCACTTTCCATTGCGGCGTTTATATTATAATGCACGAACAAATGTTACGAATGTGTTAACTAAAAGACAAAAATTCGACATACATAGATCGACGAAGTTTAATTAAACGAAACGAAATTTTTATTAAAATTTATCTGAAAATGCGAGGAAGTAATTTGGATAGTTCAACACGTTAAGTTAGCTTATTCTGTTTATCGTTTAGACCGCAATATTTAACATTGTCAAATTAATTAATGTGTTAACCCCTTGCCTCACAATATCGTGTCAGACTCGTGATGAAGATTTCAAACAGAATATAACTGAATTCTTTCGAATTCAAATGAAACATAATTCTTCTGTTATCAACTATTATACTTTCGATCAAACAAATACATAGAATATGCTGAAAATAGTTCTCCCCTTTTCAATAAATTATTAATGACAAAGTAGTCGTATCGATCATAGTTGAGAATAAAATCATATGGCAAGGGGTTAATAACTTATAAATTTTGAAGAATATATGAGCTATACGAAAGGCGTTGATATTGCAACCGACTGAACAGAACTATTCGTGAAGAAATCATCTTTAGAGTTCACAAAGCTGTAAGGTATAGAGTTAAACATACGGTAATTATATTTTTCTTACATTATGAGGATATTATCAAGTTTTTTCAATTCCAACGTTGTATAAATAGAGAAACTAGATTTACTTGCACAAAATTGTTATTTTTCAAGTGAATATCATTTCGTATAGCAGGAACTACTTAGCAGCATGTTGACAACCAATTTTCATTATTCGAATAGTGAAATTTTGGGATTTTGTCCACAGCCGGGCGCACTGTGCGACGTGGAGAACGGCGCGCGGGACGGTTCAAAACACATCGACAAGAAACTGCACGTACGGCCGCACCGTGTAACGTTACGTTTGCCGGATATCTGCATGAGTATCGGGATACCTGGCCGCGCCAAAAGCTACACAAGGGGGCTGTAAACGATCCGTGTAAACGTTGCCGGTAGACGGAACTGATTGCTTCTCTCGTCCCCTGCAAATATGTACGAACGCGAATGAACGGCGCGCGACACACGCGCGTTCCCTTCGTTCCTGTCCCGGGGAGATTTCGTACACGCGAACCGAGTTGTTTGAAATTATCTACCGGGTGAACTGACTGGACTATTGATGGCCTTTTCAATCGTTCCATCGGCGTGGAAACGTGTCAGAAAGGCAATCGTTCTTTCTACGATTTCATCCTACACCGATAGAATTGCATTGATTCAATGATGCGGTTTTCTTGTGACTTTCTTTTCATAAATTAACACTTAGGCGACCGGAGAAGAACTATAACAACAACCTCTTCGATTATCTTCCATTGAACTCGTTCAATTAATTCGATTAGAAACCGTGATTTGTAAAAACGAGAACCGTATTTGATGAATTGCAAATAATCCCACTTTAAGACAAAAGATCTCCCACTTTTCACGTAGCAAAGTATTGCCTTTTCTTCTGTTTATCTCTTCTTGGGAGGATCTCATTCGCTTGGCTAAGTGGGAGGATCTCATTCGCTTGGCTAAGTGTTAAGATGAACGATGGTGTCTTAATGCAATATGTATTTTCCTTTGTCATCTACAATGCTTCGTCTTCCTGGGACCTTCAGCGTGCCTTTCCAGAAAGTTTCTTGTCCGTGATGAAAATGATAAACATATAGTAAATTATAGAACTATGAATCGTATTATTTATGGTACGCACGGTACTTTTTGAACGTGCTTGTTTTAGAATGTTTGCATACCAGCTTTTGGAACAGTAGGTTAACATGTTTAAATAATCGGTATAAATTCTTTATTTGGAACAAAAGTGTGACGGCGTTGCTAATTGAAGGCTTGACAGGAAGTTTAATTCACGTCGAGTTGAATTAAAGATGAGTTTCCTCATTTATTTGTCATAAATGCAATGAATATTGATTAACTGGATAAGTTAATCTCAGTTGATACTGATTATACATACTGCTATTCTTACAGCCGTTTAGCACTTTCTTTCTCGTTAATAATGCACTGGTCCGTAACGAAGAATAAAGGAAACAAAGAGAGAAATGCCCACGGGCAAGGGCAGATGCAAATATTTACGCCGATCGTATTAAAAAGAGTAAACCGTCGTGAGTGGTGAATAATCCTCTCATAAAATATTGTGAACTATTTCCCCGAAAACAGCCGTGGAGCAACGTTGAAATTCTATTTTCCATTTTATCATTCGCTGAAAGCTTTTATATAGGAAATAATGCTTCCCAGCTGTCTCTTCATGCTGCTTTTATTACGTGTCAAATGCAACTTTCTTCCTCCGTTTATTTATGAACGTATGTAACAATGTTCTATTTTCATTATACCTGTATACACGTAGAAAGCGGAAATTTCACGGGAAATTATTTTATCGACGTCCACGCGCCGCGGAACATTTCCAACGCATTTTATAGAGTGCATTTCGCGTGAGGTCGAAGGTGAACAATTAATGTCTCTGGAAAAGTGTTATTACCCATACAGCCTGATTCGTTTCTTCGCGAGAATCCAAAGCATCGAAATATAATACGAACAAAACAAAATAAGAAAAATAGAGAATGTTCGCGTTAATTGATAGGAATCGAATGAAAACTGACTTCTACAACATAAAATGGCGTTCTCGTATTGCTCATTAAACGCAGACACGCGCACGCGGGCGAGCGTAAAAAAAATTGTCGGCGAGTGAACTGTCAGCTTTAAACTGTAATCCCTATATCAGCCCTAGTACCATTTCGTTTTAAATGGTAATTCTGAATGGAACTTGTGTCTATCGTCCGATAGCTTCCAAAACGTTGATCGCCCGTCGACCCGGCTATTGTGCCCCGAGAATCGGTGTAGTTTTTGTTCATCGAAACGCAGTTCACTCCGGAAATGTTCGTGTATAATTCCTCGATCCGCGGAGAGGACGACGCGACGCGACGTTCCGGCGCAATTATATTTCATTGTCTCGTAACCGAACGGGCGTTACCTGTCAAGCTTTAATGTCCTCCATAAAATGTTTATCCGCACTGTTTATTAATTTCATGACACGGCGTCCCGAGTTTGACGAACGACGTAATTACGGAGTAATGAAAACTCCACCGAAACCATCTGTCGTTATAACTCATTAACGGAAACACATTGTTCAATTACACGGATACGTTTCGTTATAAATTCATTCATCTGCCAGCGCGTCTCGTTTATCTATGTAACTCACTATCGTATAAGAAAATATTTTTCACCGTATTTTCACGAACACTTCCACGATATCGATTCCAGTTGAATACTCGTATTTTCCTCGAGGCTAATAAAAAAAAAACTTACGAACTCCTGTTTACCGCACAAAAATTAGGGAAAAGAACGGCAACTCCGACGAAACAACTGTAAAAGCAGTGCCTGGCAAAGATGTTTTTAATTACTGGCAACTGAACCGGCGTGCTTAATTAAGTGATAAATCTTGAAAGAACTTTCGAGGGAACGAGTGGCAGCGCCTGTAGCCGGCTAGCCGTTTGTAAGCTGCAAGCTTGCGCAAACGACAGCCAAAGTCAGTTCGTTGTTTATCATTTTCCCGATTGCTGCTAATGTTCTTAGGCGTGGAGACGTGCGTCGGGCTGAACGCGTCCGGGGTGTGTAACGCTCGAGGTGTTCCTTGATAATGCGGTAACATGCAAGAATAACATTTACCTGGACGAGAAGCTCCGTTAATATATCATTCTGTGGACGTCGCTTATCGAAGAAACTAATTCACTTTTTTTCCCTCGTATTGAACGGTCCTGAGCGCTCAACCCTGTCCATTGCAGTAACCCCTCGTCACCTGAAGGGACAAATAAATCAAAATGAAACGGAAACAACGCTTTAAGCAGATAACTGCCGAGTATACGCGATATATTAACCCTTTGAAGACGAATGACGACATTTTACCGACGTTAAATTTTTGTTTTCAGAGTACTGGGTGACAAACTAATGATTTCATTGTTCAAACAGCAAGAAATCTGTTCTTTTGTTCTCTGTTATTTAAGCATTCCATGTGTAGTTTAGTAGAATCCACAGAATTAGTATTTGTTCTTTTACTTGTAGTTTGTCATAATCCTCGTGAATCAACGATATTAAGGTAGTCATTCAGTGTTCTTGGTTTTGCCATAAGTTAACTAGTAACTAATATGTGGTCAATTACTAGTTTCCTTGTTTTCAAGCATAATCAACTTCTAACGAAAGCATTTATCAACATTTTATGATACAACTGTCTCAACAAAGTTCACTTTGCTATAATATAAGAAATTCAAACAGCATTGTCGCGCATAGTCTCTATTTAACCTTTTGCCCTACAATATTGTGCCAGGCTCGTGATGAAGATTTCAAACAGAATTTAACAAACATAAATATTATTCAATCTGTTTAGTTTAAATAAATCATTAATAACAAAGTAGTTACATTAATTACAATTCAGAAAGAGGTTATAGAGCAAGAAGTTAATAGAGGTTAAAGTAGCAAGCGTTCACTACTATTTACGCAGAAAATTCGCTTTACCTTATCTATCGCTGCGTTTACCTTATTTATTTATGTTACAACTCTGAAACTATAAAACGAGCGTTCGATATTTGCGTAATACAGTCTGATCGCTTCGTAACAGTATTTCAAATGTCAAATGCCTTCTCTGTCTTGTTACGATTATCTCTTTTAGGGAGTCGAGTGTTTTCCCAGATAATTCGCGGGATGGTTCCGTAAATCGATCGAAACGGAGACCCTCGACAGTGCTGCATCGCGACAAAAGTGGTTAACACAGCGGAGCAGAAAACACGATTGCATAAATGGCGCGGAAATTGCTCCTCCGTTCCGCGGGAGAAGGAAGAACGATATTTGCACGCTTTATCTCTTACGATAATGCGTTACTGCTACCGGCCTGCAGATGCCTGTTCATTCGTTACCAGCGTAAACTCGGCAGAATCTAATATACATTTTCCAGTTCGAAGACGTAATCGCATTCACAGCCGATACAACCCATTTGCAGCGATTCCATCAAGTTTCCCATATTTTCTCTTACATTAACATCCGTGCCAACCGTTTCACGATGAAATTTAAATGATTCTCTTGAAAACAATCGAACCGTTGGAATCACTTTTATTCCGACATTTATTTTATACACTCCCAGAGAATCAATATTCATACGTTCATTTACAATACACATCATACATCACGCGACTACAAAATCCATTAACATTTTCTCATCGATTGTAAATGGAAATTAATATAAACACACTCGACTAGCTTTCAGAATTCGCTACTGTTACGCTGTCACGATAAAAACGCTGCATTAACCGTGCTCTGTATACCGTGGGAAAAGTGTCTTTTTATTTCGTAGGTGGTTAACCATTCTCCTTTTTCTTCTCTAACTTGCCGTTTTTTAACTTCCTCTTCTTCTTCCCCTCGGATTTTTCTTTTTCTCTCCCTTCAGCTTCTTCTTTTCCATTTTTCTCGACTACACCCTTACTCAACGTTACCTTTAACCGGGGTTAGGTCGAAGAAAGGGGTAGTGATAATTTTTCCATTAAAGAAAAATCCAGCACCGGTATCCGCCGACAGCCGAAACTCGAACTCCAAACAAGTTCCGTCGAACGTCTGTTCCGGTCCATTCGAGCACGAATTTTCTTTGAGATTGCCCGTTATTCCCGCTTTTGCCTTTCGCGTGCACGCAGCTCCTTTGCGCGCCGCCACGTTCTTTCAATCCTCCAACCTCGCCTCCGCTGCATTGTAGATCCGGACGTGCTCGAAAGGTAAACAAAGCTCTCTCGTTCTTCGCTTGCCCACTCACTCACTCACTCACTCACTCACTCACTCACTCACTCTCTCACTCACTCTCTCACTCTCTCCCTCCCCCCTCTCTCTTTTTCTCTTTCTCTCTTTTTGTCCCGTCTTGCAGTTATTTTCGCCTGTACGCAGAGCTATCCTCGACTTCGCAAGGCAAATTCATCAAAGTCTGGAAAGGACTTTTCTACCCGGCCTTTTCGCATTCTCGGTGTCCTTTCTTCTGGCCACGATGCTCAGCCCCGGCTTAATAACCCACCGCTTCTCTAGATGCATTTTAAGTTCGCCTCTTTGAATTCGCTCTGCCAAACTTTCCCCTGGCAATTGCTCCCTCCGGTGCGGCGTCGACACACCAGTCGCTGGATGGCGATAATGACGATCTTCCGATCCTTATAGCTATCGTTTCCATTTTAATGTTGTATAACGATGTTCGTATAAAGCTGTTGATATTGTCGATATAGAAGACATTGTTTTACGCTGTATTTTCATGAACATCTATATTTCGTGAAGATATTCCTATAACTTGGGTATTTATCGCTTTTTGTTGCTTCAAACGTTGTCTTCCTTATCAACGGCTTTAGTAGACTAGTTTAAAAAATATCGTTGTTTACCTAAAATTGTGAACCATGAATATTAGAAAATTACAGATTCCTTGTAATGAGTATACTCAGAAATCCTAATCATTGAACAGTCGGTCAAATGATCCTAGGTTTTCAAAAAGCCTTTAGCGAATCATTGTAGTCACTGTGAAATGTAGCAGAAAGAGCGTTATTGATTGCTAGATGCAACATTGACGCGCGAATGTAATTGTCCGTCAAGTCTCTGACAATGTCTTCGCCGAGTCCATCGTGCGGAGCCCCCGCTGCGAAGGGGAGGAAGCTTGTAACGCATTGATTCGATGAGAAAATTGTCGGGGGACGCACGGACTGGGGAAGCGAAGGCAACGATGCACCTTTGAAGGATCGTTTCCGGCGGTTTTTTCCCCTGCCGGGTGGAAAAGCGCATGAAAAACTGGGCGACAGATGGGGCGAGTCGTTTCGTTCGGTGTATCGGTGGTTGCACCCGGGAACGAGGGGGTTGTAAATAACATCGTGCCTTCTTGCCGCGGTTATTGTAGGTTTCGTTCACCCCGAAGCTTTGAATTATGCGCTGCAAACCGCGCTCTATCGCTCTGTGGAGTTAACACTTTGACCGGCACAAGTGCCTTGAACGTTTTGCTCATTATTATTATCCTTATTACATATTCTTTCGTCTCAAAGACGTGTAGAAGGAATTATTAACCCTTTGTACTCGAAAGTTCTTCAGTAGAAGTATTCAACATTCTCCGACGAGATACAAACGATGTTCTTTGAAACTAATTGATCAGGAAACATACATAAATTAAGAAGGAAAGTTATTTTATTGGAATATTCCACATATTGGTGTATTATACACAGCTTAATATTATATATAAGACTTTATAATTTTACTGTGTCAAAGTGACTGGGAGTTACTTCTCGAGTACACTTTAGGTTGTACTATTACCTAGTCATATGTGCTGTTAACCTCTGGACCCAGAATATCGTGTCAACTAGCCACGGAAAAATTCGTGGGACTCAAACGAGTAATAATATCGTCTATGAAACTTTTTAAAACGCATAAAAAAGAGCGATAGCACTTGCCTGAATTTGTGGCAGTCGTAGCGAAAGGGTGGATAGGTGCAGTATTTAGTTTTATAGGAAACCTTGGGCCTGCGACGTTATACAGGCCACTCTTCCCTCTTCTTTGATTCTGTGCTCACACTTACTTCACACTTAAAAAGGAAACATCCTAAAACCACGGTAAATTCTAACCCTTAACGGTCGTAAGTCACTTCTCACGTGACAACAGTACTTCGTCGCTGCGATCGTATGTCACGTGGAAAGTGATAAGACGGTCAAAATTCGCTGTCTGTAAAATGTAGGTGCGATTGCCTTGTCAGCTAAGAATCAGCAACGGTGCAATTAACATCGCAATTTTCGCATATTTACCGAAATCAACTGCAACCTAGTGAGAATCGTGTATAAAAAACTAGCGTCCGATAAGGGCTAAATACTATAATCGCATTCTTTCCTTAGTCTAATTTCATTAAAATTTGTCCAATTTGTTCAGAATGATGCGACTTTTCCAAGCTGTTTGCGTTCCTTACCGCGTGAACCTCAACGACTAGCCAAATTCACGGTTTTAATGGCGACGCCGGTGGAATACTTCCATTAGGGTTGAAAGTGATTCTACTTCGCGGAGTATTGCCTCCTCCCCTAATCCCGGGGAAGCTAACAACGTGCCCGGAGAATGACAGATGACGTTCACTTACGTATACAACGTCCGCGGAGGGTGAAAAGAAGAAAATAGCAGCCTAAGAGACACTCGATGTCTCGCACCTCCGTCGGCGTATTTTGTTTCCCTTTCCGTTTCTTCCTGGAGATTGACGTCTTATTTCGCGGGGAAAATAAACGACGAATTTGTCTTGGAAATAAATTTCCGCGTATTTTTCTTACGGAAAATTGTGGCCCACTATTCTTCGCAACGTCATTAACTCGACCGCATAAAGCTTTCAGCCGATTCTCGCCTCGTCTTCCACTTCGAAGAATGGGGGACTAAGCTAGGCATCGAGGAGACTGTAAATTAAATTGCTGCTTTCCCCTCGGACTATTTCTAATACAAATACACGTTTGTAATTTTACAAACCATTCCATGCAAATACCGCGGCTATAAACACTTACATATATTTAGGTTATTGATCGTGAACTCATAACGAAACGGGGCCCGCCGGTTTCATTAGGACGGATGAAAACGTATAAAAAACTTTTATAAACTGACAAAGTACAGCGAGCAGGTTCATAAAGTTGGTTAACGATCTCGTAAGCGTCAACTATGTAATATACAAGAATACGATCGGTAATAAGAGCGTTAATCCTTCCCGCATAACGATTATCTGCGCGTAATATCTCTGGGGAAGCAGTGTTTTTAGTCGGCTTATCGACACTAACCCCC